ATTATAACAACGATCTTTTTGCCTCAGTTCTTTTGTGGATTTAGTCTCTGTCTGCTGTCTCTTGGTGTAATCCAGACATGATGTTGAGATCAGGGCTCTGTGGGGGCAGACCATCTGCTGCAGGACGCTTCATTCTTCATGTGGCTGGAGATGGATATTTATGACTGGTTGTGTGGTTGGACTGGCGTTAGGGACTGATCAGATGCCTCACTGATGATGTGGTACGATGGACAGAATCTAAACAGCTAGAGTACCGTACTGTCTGGTGCTAAAGCTCACGTTTTGTATATGCACTAAAGACAAGAGATGCTGCAGCACCATCCAGAGGACTAATTCCTGCGAGTTAATCGTGAAATAATTTGAGGGTGAGTACACGCTACTAATCAGACTGGAAACATGAAGTCGGAACTCGCAAGTTGGGATCACAGGCACAAAAAGGCCTTGCATTCATTAAGTTTCCCGCAGACCACTTGACACACCCCTGAGGAAAATGCTGAGGAGGAGCTGTGCCCTGCCACCCTCTACTTAACCATTTACAACCATTACAGCTCAGCCCGTCGACACCCATTTAGACGTCTTTTCTAGACTTTCTCCAGGCCCAGACACAAAGTCTGAATGTCGTTTCTATCTCACTTTTCTTCCATATAACCCGTTTGTACGTTTAGCTCACTGCACTGGAAAAGATGAAGATGACTAACAGCAAAAGTGGATGCTGAAAATGTGCGTCACATCGTCAAATATAACTCACATCACCATGGAAACTGAGTGTATCGTTGGGTGTTTTTTTTCACAACTCCGTCTCTCTCTCTCAGACACACTCACACACACTTTTTTTTTTTCATCCCTCTCCTTGTGTCTTTCTTCACCAAAGAAACATACACACATATTTCTAAGTGGATCACAGTCCAGAATGGCTTGTTGGTAGAAAATATTTTAAAAACAGCTTTATTAGTGTGTGTACATGTGTGCGTTCGTGCATGTGTGTGTGAGTGTGTGTGTGTGTGTGTGCGTATGTTTTCATCTATGAAAATAACGTAGCATGCCTAAACTGCGGCGTGTTAACGTTTCAACTCCTGGAATCAGTTTTCAGCCAACAACATAAACAACATTCTCCCAATCAGTGGTATGTTTGACCTATTGGCTGCATTTAAATTATAATTAGTTACATGTTTATTTTATTGTCGGTTTTCTGATGCTCTTAAACTAAAATGCTGGTATGTGAGCACAAGCAAGGAGAAGCTACTGCAGGATAACAGACTGTCTTCTGACACATATGTATATTAATATTGACTTTATTTAGAAATCATTGAATGCTTCGTAAAGATATAAAATGAATGGATGTAGATAAATATATGCATGTAAATAATTGGTCATATAATGTAAAGTAAAGTCGGCATGTGCTGGTATTAGACTTTATCATCAACACAAACACTCACATAATGACAGTTAGCCAGCTGTCATGTGCAATAAACCCAACTGCATTTCATTCATGCAACTGTTCTTAAATTTGTGTTCTTAGTATCGTTGTGTTCTTCGGTTTTTCTTGTTTATATTGTGTATATGTAGTGTATATACCTCGCCTCTTTCATTTATAGTTGTGTTTGCTTGCTTTTCTTTTTGTCACTTTGCTCTGTGACGTTGCAAATTTCTCCTCATGGGACTAATAAATGATATTTAATTCTATGACACAGAAATAATGAGATTAAAACAAAATTGTACTAAAGAGCAGAAAAACATAAAACAATAAAAATGTTCAAGACCGTTCTGAAAACATACACATGCAGGGAGTTTGGTCACTTCAGAGACTGAAGGGGGGACCGGACTCTGAGGCGTTTTTAATTTGGTGGAGATTTAATGAAGAGCAACCACAGTAATCATTTAAACTTTAAAATCTGCTGTCATACATACAGATAACAGTGCAGGTGGCTCTGAATTCGTGTAAAACTCATTCTTTTGTCATTTTTTGGCGGGTGAACATCTCCTTTCAGCGTTTCTCTGCAGGTTTGGTGACCCAAGACAAATCCATTCTTAGTAGATGGAATATTTAATCAGACAGTGAAGTCAGGGTGGATTTCAGTAATGACTAGTCATCAGTGTTGTCAGAGTAGGTGGCCTTCAACCCCGTTGGCCTACTTTTTATTTAACTGGCTGGTAAACGATAGTTGTAGGCTGGCTGGGTGAATTTGGGAGACTATCTTCTACTATTTAGGTGGTTTACACCAATGAAAATGTGACTTGAGTTATTGCGTGACTCCTGTTATGTATCAGTTTAACGAGCTCGTCTCATGATTTTGCTGAAACACAAGACTGGAAAGAATCAGTTACTTTCTTCCACATTTTAGTGAAGATAACAAAATAATACTTACAGCTTAATAAAAGCACATTTGGCCCATAGAACATACAGAATGTGAACATAAAGAGGAGACAGATACAGACAAGCTAAAAGAAAACATGGTAGGAGCTGAGTCATCCCAGTGATGTAGTTTGTCAGCAATATGACTTGTTTGTACTTCTGAGACAACCTTTGCATTAAAGGTGAGGCAGGCAGTATTTTCTGTGTCATCATTTGACTAAAAGTCCATCTTAACATTGCATCATGTTGTAATTCAAGTGGTCTGAGAGGAAACTGCACTTCAGCACCTCATCCTGGCTCTGTTTTTAGGTTTTAGAAGTTCTAGCCAAGTTAGTGATTTTAGTCAATCGCAGGTCCACAAATGTATGTTGAATGAAGCTCGTCTGGTGGGACGGGCTTCGACCAGAGAAGGAAAGCTGCACGAGGAGGCTTTCACATCCTGGGGTTATTTTTGTTTTGTTTGTTTGAGCGTTTTCCAGATTTCTGCCCACTGCAGCTTTAAGATGTTAAATAAACTTAGCTAGGTTTTAAAAAGCACTTTACAATGTGGTTCTCATTAACAAATTCTCTGTCACACACACACACACACACACGTTTACATCATGACAGTGAACACAAAACTATTTTCCCGTTAGCTTGTTGCAAGTGGTTTTTGTAAGTTTAAACCTTCAGATTTTCAAACCATACAACAGATGATGAGTCCAACTTTCCAAAGACAAAAGCGAGCGCTTCTACAGATGATGAAAACACATCTCTGAAGGTGAATTTCAAGCCTTTTCCTCTGACCTTTTTGTCTTGGAACCTTCTTGCAAACATGCTGAGCTGGTTGAAAGTCACTCTGAAATAGTTAAACATAAGCGTAGAACAAATGCATTGATAATTGATCATAGCATAAATCCATATAACATACAAATAAGCAACAACCTCAGAGCTCACAATAGATTTTTATTTTAACTGAGAACCTTGCAATTAGTGGACAACTCTGTCACCTGAGCCACGGCCGACTCTTTGTGTGCTGCCAGAACAACAAGACCTTCTTCCGACAGCCTGCCGTTAGTTCTTGGTTTCGAGCCTTACCATGTCAGAGATTCTCCAACCCTGTCATCTGGCTTTTGTCAAAGTCACTCAAGTCTTTACATTCACCCATTTCTCCTGCATTAAACACGTTGACAGCTGGTCATTTCTGACTCCCAGTATATTCCAGACCTTGAAATTCAGCATTGTTACACAAGTGGTCAAATGTTTTAGCTTTCAAAAATAATGCTATAAATGCATTTGACTTATCAGTTAACTTAATTAAAAGGGCAGAAAGAAAAGGAGTCGATCAGATCAATGTTTGGTTTAACCATGCTTTGCATAAGATGACATCCCCTCTTCTAGACATGATTGTGCATCAGTGGTGTCACCTTTGGCACCATTTAGATCATGTCATGTGAAAAAAAAATGCACATTTGTTTCAGTTGTGTCAAACTGGACTGTACAAGCAAACTGCATGTTTGGCAACACAATTTGCAATGACAGAAGAAAGCTTTAACCAGCTGAGACTGAACACAGTAACCAGCCTCTGCAAGTGAATGAGTTCATGCAAATGAGCCCCAAAGAGAATATGAAGCAAGCAAACATGTAAATGAGCATTACTAACAAATAGGACTTGATTATGTTGTACTGTTTTGGATAGACAATATTATTAAAACAATTATTGCCTGTCAGATGAAAGTGTGGCGCTACAATTCCCCCAGACGAGTTGCAAATGTGCGTGCACGCATGCACAGACAGCGCATGCAGAGAGGAAAAGCATTCCCATTAGAGCGCCCATTAAGTCTGATTACAAGTGATTACCGTCTGTCGGAGAGAGATGACCAGTCCCGTCCTGCCACTGCATTAATGACAAATGCGTTCCTTTCTCTCTCTCATCATAATCAAACCACCTCCTGTTTTCTGTTTTTTTTGGTTTTGTCTCACTCCCTTGAGATCCCTCCATGAACTTAACAAACCCCAGCGTTCACTTCTGCTTCCCTGCACGTGTTGTTTTGTCACTGTTGTTTTATTTATAACCGTTTTCCTCTCAAAATGCCGTTCTCGACTTCAGGGGCTGACACAACACAAGAAACATACGTTGACTCATTTGAGGGCAGCCGGTCCAAAGGGTAAAAGAGATTCACGCTGGGAATTCTCTGCCGTTGCTGCCGCGTAGGGGGAAGTATTTGTGGTCACAACCACACGTGGCTTCCACCTGAGGTTAAGCACATTTTAAAGTTGCTGTGGGAGTTGCTTTTCTGAGGGTAGTGCTGCATATAGGTCGTCTTTGCCGGATGTCTTGTCTGACTACATCCTGCTGCACAGACTCAGCACAAAAAGGTTTAAAACTGATGTTGCATTTTACCGAGACATGCTATCCTTATTTCAGAGCAGTGGTGTAAACACTGCATATACCTGGATTGCAGGTGTTTTTAATGTCTTTGCCTTTTAAACTTTAAAACCCACCCGAAGCCTTGGGTGAATTTTTAATGCCATGGCAACATGTTTGTGATCGTCTCTACCCGTCCTATGGACCTACAGGTTTTCATAGCTGGACTGTGATTTTCATCTCGGGTGCTCATTAGTCTGACCGGACTGTGTGTGTGTGTGTCTGTGTGTGTTTTTGTAGGTGTTTCTCTTGGGGAGCTCAGCGGCTCCTCAGTGCTGCCCGGAGTCAGACTTCACCACTTCCTCTGGTAAGACCTTCATGTTGCTCAATTCCACACAGTCAGAGTTGTGCAGCCTGCAGAATGCCAATACACAGTGTGTGTCTGCACTGGATCATCCCTGCTGTGGCCAGGCACACACACACACACACACACACACACACACACACACACACACACAGTTCCCAGAGTGCCAAGAAGTTGCAAGTCATGATGTAAATGTAATGAAGCTCAAGTCTTTGTTTACGTCCCAGACTAAATCATTATGTGCCAGACTGGTTGATCTGCTGTTTGCTCTGTTTGTTGTCTTTGGGTTTGATAGCTGCAGACTCCGTGTGTGTGTTTCTCTCTATGTGTGTAGAGAAGTCATAGTGCTGGGCAATACTATTACATAGTACAATTAAAGAAAGGTAATTATTCTCCGGTGCTGATAGGATGAATGTACAACGATCACAAACAAAATGATAAAAATGGTGTTCATTGAAATAACGGTGTTCCACTGAAAGTATATGTATGAGCTGGGACATTAGACTTTTGTAAAGCGATGCCACTATATGGGGCTTCTCAAGTAGTCTGATTATCGATAGTCCATCAGGTTTTGGGGCTTTTGGGGGACACTTGGGGGCAGCAGAAACACTGACACATTAAAGCTTTGCTGAACTTGATAGAAAAACAATACTTAATTATGCTGCAAGAAAGAAAAAGAAAAACCCACAGTGGTCACAGAAATAACTTGAATCTGACA